TCTTTTCTAGAAGATAGGGCCAGTAGACGTAACAGCTGACCCTCGTCCTCATTTGGTTGTAGACTTTACTTCTTTAGCCTAAGTTAATTATGTTAAAAACGATAAAAACATTTTTTTATATAATTTGTTTTTTACCTTTTATTCTATTACAATTCAAAAAGAAATCTCACTCTGAGTGGGAGTGCTGAGTTAGGCCAAGAGAATTAGGATTTATTTATTTATTTATTTCACTTATAGAAGAAACTGAACTAAAAATTTTGACAGTCGAGCTCAATTGACTCTTAAAGTAAATCTTAAATTAATTAATATTAAAACTTAGTGTAAGTAAAATAAAACAAATAGGAAGAAAAAAAAAGAAAAAAAAGCATGTACACAACTAGCATAGAGTCACACCCACAACCTTGGCAACCGATAATAGTTAACAACAATTGGTTTTCGACTCATCGTGACATTTTAAAGTTAAGAGGTAGTTTAAGTACGACATAGGTAAATTGCGCCCATTAAGCAATGTTGCTTTAATGGACTTTAAAGAGTCGGATAATGAGAATAAGTGATAGATTCTTGTAAACATCTCTGAGCAGGTTAAACAGCTCATAATTATATTTACATTGACTAAGCTTAAAGAAGGTAAAGTGCCTAGAGAAGCGGTTGGGGACATTAAAGCTTTTTTCACCAAATTATTCAAATCACTTTGAAGGTGGTGTGATTGCGATTCTAGAGAGCAAGAAGAAAACAGTTTCACATCATTAGCGTACTTTAAGATCTGACTGGAATTAATCTGGGAGATCATTAATGTATAAACTAAATAAAATGGGACCTAAGTGGCTGCCTTGGGGTACGCCAGACGTCGGGTGAATTCATCCGAGGTGATGAAGTTAAACAGAACCCTGAAGGATCTATTGTGCCGATAAGAGCTTATCCATTCCACTAAATAGAAAGGGAAGCCAAAGGCTTGGAGTTTAAAAATAAGTAAGTTATGGTTAACCAAATCAAACGCTTTGCTTATGAATGTTGGAAGCGGTTGACATAACTTTTAAACTCTTCTGGCGAGGCAACGTGGGGTTTTGTAAAAGCCAAGGCATATTATTATATTGCATTATATGCTATTAGTACTCGAGAAACAGAGCAGAAGACAGAATAAGCGCTAACACAATTAGAAAATTTCTTATGCTCTTGTAGATATTTCAAAGTTGTACGTGCGGACGGGCATTCATATTTATGTATAAATGTATATAAATGTACAAAATTGTTTTTCACTATCGTGGATTTTGGTATTGTCGGGGAAATTTTTCATGGTCGAGGAAATTTTTAACGGTCGAGGATTTGCATTTATTGGAAGCATCTCTGTGCTCTCTCCATTCTCGGCAAAAGGGAATTCATTTAAGAAACGATGTATAGAAACAAACCAGATGACGGCTTTTAGCCGTTTTGAATAATTGCGAAAAAAAATTTAAAAGGAGGAAGAAAAAAGGTAAAAATTATAAAAAGAAATTTGTTAAACGTTTACGTAAAAGTGAAATAGACAAATTCCCAAAAATTATAAAATTATAAATTTTATTTTAAACAATTTTAACAAAGCTATGAAATAATATATATTGATGGTAAGTGCATTCATTTCCTTTATTTAAAATATATTTCATTCATTGCGAAGAAAATCCAGCAGAGATTTACATACTTTTTCTGGAAATCTCTTTGGCGTCTCCTTTGTTTCTAGCAATTTCGAATAGCCTAAATAGTTTATACCGTCAATACGTAATAAAAAATAATATCCAAAACACAAATTGTACAGTTATAGAAAACTGAAATAAATATCATCAAAATAAATTGTAAAAAAGTTTTCCCCTTTAAGCCTTTAATGTAATGTTACGAGTGTGTACCACTCCTTCGTCGACTGACCGCTTACTATAGCTACCAACGTAAACTTTAAACTTTTAACTTTACCGCAGTGAGATTTGAATCCGTGTACTTGATGATTTCAATTTTTAGAATATGCAAATACTAATTTTACAATCCTACACTCTTTAGGAGTTGTCAAACCCGTGGTTGATTCTTTATTCCCTGCAATTGTGTTGAAAGATACTCTTGTATAAAATGCATTTAATTTTAAATCAGTGTGAGATTCCACACGAATTAGTTAACAAAGTCTTCTATATTTTGAAGTCAAGTTATTGACGCTTAACTTTTGTATGATCTCTCTATGTGCGCTTGGGTGAGAGAAGTGGCAATGAATGTTATTTAAAAAATCTATTATCTTTAAAATCTTATAGGTGTTCATTTCTTTCCTTTAGCCATTTATCAGTAATTAAAGCAATCTCCGATGTATGTACTCCAAGCTGATTATATGCTATTATTATATTATTCAAATGTTCTGTTATTTCGTTCTTCTGTAAATTCATTATCAATTATCAATTATTGTACATGTTTTATTATTGTATTACATGTACATTATTCTAGTTTTATACTCATTACTCTAGTTGTTTACACTCCGCGTTGTTATCAATCCACATTATGTCTACCGATTGACACGAATTTCAATAAATGGCTTATAGTTTATTGAAACGGAGGTTATAATAGTGTTACGAAAATCCCAGATCTAGTTAATGTCAGCTAAGTAATTTTCGTAATAATAAATTCCCTAAAGAAGGAAAATCCAAATGACCATTCGCAGGCGCCTCATGCAGCTACAAGCCGATCAAAACGATAAGAGGAAAAGCAGGCTGGGATTAGAAATAAAACCATAAATTTAGGTATAGTAACATGCTTTTAAAAATGTACATAAATAGAATATTTGTGGAAGGGAGAGTTAGTTGGGCAAGAACATTTGAGCTAGGAGTACGGCCAAAATAAGTTGTGAATAATCCTACATGTAAGAAATATAAGTGTAAATAAATACTCCTACTGTTGTGAAAGACAAAGTAGTAAAATAAAACAACTTTGAAGTGTATTCCTCTTGATCAAAATATCCACGAACCAGTGATACGAACTATATCTTAGTATAAGCAAATTTCATAACAATAGTGTAGTTGTTATAATAGTACGATACACACACATGGCCCCTCTTGCGCCCAACAAAAATTTTGTAAATGGACTATATAAATGCAAACGAACAGACGGCAGCAGTAGGCCTATATTATTAATTTACAACGATATATTATTAATATACGACTAAATCCACATATTAGACGGATTGAAAGCAAAAACAAAGAAAAACAAGTTATTTGACTTCTCCTCCCAAACGAAATTATCGCAAAGAAACGCGCCCAGCTCTGGATGCTGGGCGCTGAGTGTCTCCATACAAACAATATCATCACCCTGGTATATGATAAGCTGCAATCAATTCAAACACCTTCACTTTTCTCCACAATTTCACTCAGTCCTCGTACAAATCGCAAACGTCTTCCATTGGAACTTCATATGGGCCACCAATTGGGAGAAGCTCAAAATCGAACTGCAAGCTGTCAGCGATTATTTTAACGAAACATTTGCGGCTGACACACGGATGACCATAAAAAATTTCAGGCTTACCCTGATATAACTATAGCTTCATACAGGGTAAGCCCGGACCTTTTTGAATTCTTTTTCACTAAGATAGCGGTCACCAGAAGAAAAAGAACCGGGTCATCGGATGCGATCTTAAAACCCCCAACCGATTAACGAACATGCAGATATCCAAATATGCAAGCGGTTTCACAACGCACGACGATTACTTTCTAATGAAAAATATGAATTACGAAACTGAACCCGAGGCTGAAGAAGAGTTTAGGCCATTGAACATCTATGAGGAGGATCTGCTCACAGGTCAGCCCTGTCGGCTCAAGTTCAACTCTCCGCTTATCACCTCATGTAAATGAAGATTCGCTGTATGCAAAGTCCCACGACGATTACTTTCTAATGAAAAATATGAATTACGAAACTTAACCCGAGGCTGAAGAAGAGTTTAGGCTATTCAGCATCTATGAGGAGGATCTTCGAGGATCTGCTCACAGGTCAGCCCTGTCTGCTCAAGTCCAACTCTCCGCTCATCACCTCATGTAAATGAAGATTCGCTGTATGCAAAGTTAGGTTTGCATTTATCTTTACTTATGATTATGTATAATAATATCATTTCTTTTTATTTCGTTTTAGTTTAAAAAGAAAGCATACGCCTGCACAATCCCTTCAGCGGAATTCGATATTTCCGTAAGTTTGTGGTCACCTTTACATATAAAATATAATAATTACATTAATTTATCTTTGCAGATATCAACACACCTCCAGCGATCCTTACTTATTTATATATATTTTTTATGTTTTTATGTATTATGTATGTATGTAATACGGCTTATATTTATTTACTATTATCATTTCAAATATTATTAGAGTTTTAAAATAACTTCATAATGGTGTAGGCATACACGTGGTCCAACCATTCAAAACAATTGGCAACGCGTCTGTCACGATACCTCAAAGGTGGTGTGGAAAACCGTGATAAGAATTTTAACTTAGGTGAGTGGTAATATATCTAATGTTACACATTCATATTCCCACAAAATATTAATCCCCATTTTCAGAATACTAAATTGGCAACGCGCCTGTCACGATACCTCAAAGGTGGTGTGGAAAACCGTGATAAGAATTTTAATTTAGGTGAGTGGTAATATATCTAATGTTACACATTCATATTCCCACAAAATATTAATCCCCATTTTCAGAATATTAAAAATACGATACCATTATAAAAGGGGCAAACTGGACAATTGTACACGAAATTTGGCATTCATTGCATATTCATCAGTAACAAAGTGAAGGTAACTCAGCTTCAAAATCAAAAGTTCATCTCCGAAAAATGATATGTAATATTAGAATAAGAAAAATTAAATCCGCCTGAGTGGTCGAGTAGGCAAGGGTCTCGACTATCAATTCCAATGTCGTGGGTAGAGTTTTTAATAAAAGCCGAAATCTTTAGAATGCTAGTGCTTTAAGACTTTAGTCTTAAGAATCATTCTCTGGCTAAATTTATAATAATAATAATAATAAGAAAAAGTAATATCAGATGTGAAACGAAAAAAAATATATCCTCCATAACCGCTCATTAATAATATGAAACAAGCAAACAATTTGAAATAAATACAAATTAATATGGAAATTTTTTTTGCAGAAACAATTGTCAAAGTAAAATCGGTCATTAAAAATAGCAACCAATACTCCAATTGGAACAGATTTATAAAATGCACTTATTCTGGCTATTATTATTAGATTTTAACTCGATTTAATTATAAACTTTTATGAAATGATATTCGAATAATAGCGCAATAAAATATGAAAAATGCATAGGGTACTTCAATATTTAGTTTTAATTTAAAACTTCGTGAAAACTTTTCCAAATCCTACTCGCAGTCGTTGTTTATGTAAGTAAGAAGCTTAATATATACATACATGCGGTAATGTATAAGACATATTTTTACATAGCGTTTTTATTAAACTTTAACGCTAGGTTTACAGGAACTTCCTCAATTTGATGGGCAGATTTTGTGAATCATCCCCATCGTTAAAATGAGAATAGGCAGCTGGAACTTAGCATAAACATTGTCACGGGTCTAGCTCCGCTGGCCGGTAGAGCGATTTAATTGATGGGGCTTAGCTTTCTGAGCCGTATGACAAAGAAGGAAAAAAAACACACAAAAAGGGAAAATGTTTTATGTCGGTAGCCTGTGCTTCGTCCGTCTAGAGTGAGTCCGTGTGTATCCGTCCTATGTCCCCCTACGGTTCCCCCACGCGTGCACCCCCCCTACATCGCACTCCTACTAAGGCAGTGGCATGTTCGGCCTTAGCCTCATTGTGACTCACAGGAAACCTGGGACACAAAAAAAAGGAAAGGTAAATACCTGACTAACATGCTTTCTCTCTTCAAAATTACGTCGTGCTCCCTTCTGTAGTGCTGACGGCCTCTGTGATGGTCGCTGTTGATATCTGCTGTTCGCTGTCGATGAGATGTGGCGTATATCTGATGATGAAGAGGATGATGAAACTTGAGAACACAATTTTATTCGTGGTTTTCCCGTGGCAAAATTACAAATTTTCAAACAGCATCAATGGCAAGCCACATGTAGGTAATTTTTATCTTGACGCTATGCGTACAAAAATCACCACTCCCATCAATCAAGTGAATCCAACAGTGTTCCTTTCCACCTTTAATTTGAGCGAGAGTTTACCGTTTCCTAAACGAAGTTATCTGATGTCACAAAAACACACTTCCCAGCCTTCAAATGTTCTTCACCGTTTTTTTTTTTTTAAGCAAAAGAACAAAATTGCGAAGCTTTTCTAAAAAAAATTTCGATTTTTTTCTTCTCGCATCGTCGATATTAGTTGTGTTTTTGTTAACTTCTTTTTTTTCTTTCAACTGCTTTCAATTGCTTTCATTTTTATTGCTTTCGATTTATCAAATCATACTTATCCAAACCTTTTTCTTTTCTTTTTTTTTTTTTTTGCTTCTATTGAATTATAATTGCCCTATTTGCTCAATGAAGGCAAGGTAACAAAAGTAAGCAGAAAAAAACACGCTTTAGAAACACTCCTTTCTTTTCTTTTATTCAGAAAGAAACATAGCAAAACAATCCACAAAACCTCTCCTATGTATGTATTCTTGTACATATGATCGACTATTCCTTCCTTTTTTTTTCCGCTTATCTACTTACGGTGGCACGAAACAGCTTTTATATGCTTTATCTGAACATTTTTAAACAATTTTTTGCTTCGCTGTTTGCTGATTGAGATAACCAATTTTTCTTTTCCCCCTTTTTTTCTTACAAATGATTTTGCTTAAAGAAGGGAATTTGTATAGCCTTCACTTCGTTTTTCTTGCACAATTCGTTCTTGCTTTCACTTGTTTTTCACTCTATTGATTGATTATTTTGGAGAATTTTGTAGGTTTGCAAAACTTAAAGAAAAGGAATCAAAGCGTGTAGAGGACAAATTCAGCAATAATCCCAGTTAGGGGAGCTTTTTTTTGGCTCAACAATACACGCAAATGTTTCTTATTTTTCCTTTTAAGATTTTGGTTTCTACTTTTATTTAATTGGTTTTCATTTTTGTTACTTATTTTGAACGTGTTTTTTTTTTTTTTTGAGTAAATGCCGAGATTACAACTAATAACAACAGAACTATATCTCTGTATATCTTTAATTTATTCAGTTTTGGTTTTACAGGAACTTCATACAAATCCCGAAAGAAAGTATTTTTTTCAAAATTGTTGTCGTAATGAATCTCTAATCGTCGCTTGACTATGCACGATGTTCTCTCCACTGTTTCTTCTTACTGTTAATTTTATAATACGTGTGTGGGCACACCAAATTTATTAGCACTAGCCAAGTAAAAAAAAATACAGAAGAAAAAAACGTTGTTACCGTCGCTTTTGTTGCTTTACTTTAAGGTTTTAATTAAAATTTATCCTTTTTTGAATTTCGATGTTTTCCGAGTTAATTTATTTCTAATTTCAGCTCAGCCATACAATCAAAAAACAATAGAAAAGCAACCGCACTCGTTGACGTCTACACTTCAACTCCGCCAGAACCAAATTCAACTTAAAACTATCCCCTCGCATGATTTTTTCTTTTCTTTCTTTCCTTTCTTTTTTTTTTTTTTGCATTGCTACATAGCGACTAGCCGCTACTCTTGCAAAAAAAAGGAAAGAACCGCAAAATCACGCGATTTTGCATAACGGGATGCCGTTACTGCAATGTCTTTGTTTGACACGGACCGACCGACACCCTACCCTACGTCCGTTCGCGGACGTTACAACATTTCTTGATTAGTTAGGAATATGAGATTAGAAAACGGCTGTGCTCCGCTTACAGCACGTCTACCAGCTAGACGAAGCTAAAACAATTTCCGAAAACACCGACAAATTTTTCGTATCGTTGCTGTAGTACCCAAAACCAGTGTAAACAAATTGAACTTTGGCCCAATAATGATAAAGGGAATAATTTGTAGCGTATTGCAGTAACATAATAATATATAATGCAACGGTATAGAGCACATTTGTAAAAATTGGAGAATATATAAAAGAAATGTGTATAAAAAATTTAAAAATAAATAATTGTGAAAGTTTTATGCAATTTTATGGAAAATAAGCAGACGTAATAATAATACTTTACTTTTTTGCTTATTTGTCATATATTGATATACATTAGAATGCAGCTTAAAATGTTGCTAAAACAGATGGGCCATTCTTCACACTGGCCTACTAATGATTTTCTTCTGGCCATGATGCCTGTGAGAGACCAAACAGGACCAAAACAGTACTTTTTGTATTTTCCTTATATATATATATATATATATATATATAATAATAATATATATAAAAATGTATACATATACATTTAAATATATACAGTTTATATATATTTTTTTTTTTACACATGATTTTTATTTATATTATTTGCAAAATACATATTTATTTAATATATAGGATTACTGCAGGTAATCGATGTATGCGAGTCAGATTCAACAACCCTAATGGTAACCAGTTTCCATTTGTTGGGCCTTCACTAGCTGTACCAAACATTTATAACGGCATTAAGAGTCTTTTGGAGTGTGCAATTGACAATTAGAACAACGAAAATAACAACTATTCGCCAACTCTGAGTATACCAGATGACATCGTCGCAAAAAAAAAAATTGTAAAGTGTTACAAACGAAATTAAATGAATCGAATAAGCTTCTTCAAATCTTCAAATGATTGCCAACAAAACACACTAGACAACAACTATATGCATACATTTAAAAACCAAAGATAGTAAAATATAAATTGAAGAAAAAGGGTACATATGTGTATTTATATCCAAAAAAAAAAAAACCATATGTGTATGTATACATAACTTGCACAATTGCGCAGAAAGAGCAAAAATTTAAATGAACGAAACACAACGTTACAGAGAGGAAAGAAGATGTGTCAGGTTGTAACGGCCGCGAACAAACCTCGGGTAGGGTGTCTGTCGGTCTGTATCAACCGCAAGTATCGGAATAACGGCATGCCGTTAGACAAAATCATGCGATTTTGTGATACTGTTTATAAATCACATGATCTTGCGGGATATGAGTATTTTATTCTCTTCTTTTTTCCTTTTTGCATAGCAACAGGCGAAATCGCATGATTTTGCGGTACTCTTTTTTTTCCTTTTGCTTTTGCAAGCATAGGCAAAATCGTATGATTTTGCGGGATCTATGCTTGCTCTTGTGAGAGTAGCGGCAAGCCGTTATAGAGAGAGAAACAGGAATAAAAAGAGGGAAATTGAGTAAGAAGGAGGAGTCTGTCTGCGTTTTAAAATTTAAGTCAGAGGGGATAGTTTTAAGTTGAGTTTAGTTCTAGTGAAGTTGCAGTGTAGACCTCAACGAGTGCGCTTGCCTTTCTATTGTTTTTTGATTGTACGGCTGAGCCGTGGTTGTTTTTTTCTTTTTCTGAAGTATGGGCTCGAACTGAAAATCGAAGTTCAAAAAAGGATAAATTTTAATTAAAACCTCAAATAACAGAAAAAAACCAATAAAAAAAAGAAGGTGGAACAATTAAAAGAAGCATTTTGTGTGTGTTCTCGCGACGAAGAAATTTTTCTTCTGCCAACAAAAGTTTACAAATTAAATCCTTTGTGTAAATAATTGTATAAAATCTAAATATATATATATATATATTTATAGACAGAATATATAACCAATCAACTCTGTATAACATAAAAAAAAAAAGGAAAAAAAAATTTCTTTTTGTATGCGTGCTTTTGAAACAAACAAAAAAAAAATAAAAAAATATTTATATACATATTGAATTCTACGATTGTAAAACTATATAAAAATAAAGGAAAAAAACAAGGATCAATGTGTTTGCCTCAATCAAGATGTGTTAAGAGGAAGAAGAATAATTTTCCAGTAGCTTATGAATTACGTGCACCCACATGCACCTACATCCCAGCTGTGTTGTGATTGTGCCGACGACGTGAGACGAACTTCCTACTTCCTTGCCGTGGACAGGAGCCGCCGAAGGAGACAGCCACGACATCGCGAGAGGATTGTATTGTAAGTTACTTTAGTTATTTATTCCCCTGTTGTTTTGTGTCCCCGATGAGCAGTTAAGCGCTACAGCTGCCACCGCTGTAGGTGAAAGGAGAAAGGGGTTGTGCATATGTAGGGCCGACGCCAGACGACGACCGACTGACTTACAGTGGACAGACAGACGGCAGACAACCGACGGGACTTTTCTTTTTATTTTATTTTTATTTCTTTGTCAGAAAAAGACAAATACTCAGCCGGCAATGAAAGTAAAGAGTCTCATGACAAGGTCTTCAGATCGGTAACTTAGAAAGCGACGTTCCTTTAAATTCATGTTTCTTTTTGCTGTCATTCCTTGCACTACCTAACATTAACTAAGATTCATAGCAAATAGTGGATGGCTTAAGTCCATATTGCTGCTACACAACCACAACTCTAAAGTTATTTACAAAAGAATTCGTCAAAATCAGTCACTGCATCCTAAAACAAGTTTTCGAATCATTTATGCAAGATAGAAAAAGTGGTTTGACTACGGCAATATACCAAAAGATCAACAATTTGTCATGAAACTCTTTTTCTTTCCTCGCCGCGGAGGATTTAGATTTTTTTTCTTTAGACAAAGGAAGAGAAAAAAAACAATAGAGAAAAAAAAAATCAAACTAAAAGAAACGAAAAGGTCCGGTCGGTCTCCTGCTGTGCGTCTGTCACCAGTGAGTCAGTCGGTCACCGTCTAGCGTCGGCCCTACATGGCCACCAGATGCACGCCCCTGCACCTCAGCCACAGCGGTGGCAGCGCACGCTTAACCCCTCATGGGGAACAACAGAGTTAGGTATCTTAAAAGAGAAAGTAACATAACTTACAGTACAAGTATGGTGGTGGTGGTGATGGTGATCGTTCGCTTGATGAATATTACCACTTTCACTGTCGGCTGCAGCTGTCACAATGCCCCCAATAAATGGTCGCCGTTGCTGTTGCTTCTGCCGTTCTACGGGCGAATCTCTAACAACTGCAGGCGGATGCTTCACAGGATAACCAAAGGCTGAGAATGGTGGATGCGACACCCTATCGGTGATTGCCGGCTGTGGCCGTAAATGCTGCTGATAATTAACACGTCGCTGTTGCTGTCGCTGTTCACCTTCTTTTGACTTTATTTATTTCCTTCGCACTATTTCCGTCACTCCTTAATTCTGGGACGTATGGTGAAGCAGGCCCGAGAAAAAAAAACACTCACCAAATTGTTACCACAGTGCCGAATAGAGCAAACACCTTGTTAATTTTTGCTTCCTTTTTATTTCAAATGATTTCTTTAGACTCTTTGCTGTTTCTCGTTTTATCAATTAGACAAAAATTCCATGTCCTTTTGCATATAAAATTAAATATTTTGAATGATCTCTTTAAACTTTTTGCTGTTTCTCGTTTTATTGATTAGACAAAATTTCATGTCTCTTTA